CCCCACACCTGAATATGTATAATATGAATCTTTGGGAGGGAAGGCTATGTACCGTGCAATACCGTCATCCTTAATATCTCTTCAATTCATATTATGCTACATAACATTCAAATCCAAATCGGGCCCTGTAGTGTCACAGAAAACGGTAGAAAACGGGAAACTTTGGTAAGGGATAACCTACCTGCTGTATGTTGTCTTAGACGAATCGCACTCAATGTACGGACATATAATATTAAGAGTATGTACTGATAGCATTAAGGAGAACTTAAGGTATCTATTGATGATTTCAGAAGTCCAATTGATACGGACTAGTGTACTATAAGGGATAAGTATGCAACCGTGTGTAGACTGTGTCTGAAGGTCATCATATTTTACGTCTGTGAATGATGAGGAACATAGCTACCTCAGGTATCAAATGAAAATATATGAGAACAATGATCTGGAGAAGGGATAAATGTATCAGACCTTATGTGAAGTGTTAGAAGTGATCCAGAACTATACTTCGAAGAAATATCTTGTATACCCACGGCAAAGAAAAACGACGCTAGGCCTTTGTCTGCTGGTACCCAGGGCCTCCCTGGCTACGGACAGATGCCAAGTGTTGTTTATAACTCGGAGAAATTCCCAAGAACTAGTAAAACTTCGGTGACCCTTTTTAGTATGTAATTTAGGATTAAGACATACAATTATAAGGCATAAGGTCACAATAGATAGGAAAAGTGTATATGTGAAACCAGAATAACAATGTCAAAGTGAAAATTTAAAGATTGGAAACTGTAGGCCTAGTTCAGTGTGAGACGCCAGGCATCGCCCCCAGTGACGCTCAAGCCACTAAAAACAGGTCAGTGAACTCCATCGTGCTCCATTCAGCCCTAAAAGACTTATATAGCAGTTTTTTTGTATCTTAAAACCTTGCCTGATGTTATAAAGTGAAGTAATATTACACACGCGGTGATAAAAAGCTCATCAGGCATTACTCAGTGACGCCCGGCTTCTCACCAAAACAGATACGCCCAGAGCGTCGTACTGGCCACCACCACCACTGTGAGGAACGACCGGTGTGAAGTGTTTCGCTTGTGCGTTATGCCAGCGGCGGTGAGGAAAGAAAGAGGGAACAGCAGTGCTGTACCTTAACACTGACATAATGCTGCCACACTAGACGCATTTCACTCACCCCATGTAACACACACACACACACTACATCCTGACCACGAAGGGTCAAGGCAGCCTGGCGCCCTTCTGGCAGCAGCCCGTCAACTGTTATGTTGGCCCATACCAACTCCCTCCCTCCCTCCCAACCCCTCCTCCCCACGGAATATCAACAAGTTCTCGCCAGAAGTTACTATTTTATTTAGGAATGGAATGGAACCAGTGTTGAATAGTGGTGAACGGTGCTTAAGTCAGTGAAAACAACTCTACAGTAACAGCTGAGTCGTACCAAGCTAACCTTCACACAGTGAGTCCCAGGTACCCAGTGATAACTGCCCGTGATAACTATGTGTTAATCCGTTCACGATAGGAGGCCTGGGACCACACCAGTGAGGTCCTGAGACACCGCACGTGGTGTCCCCATGATGCTACGACACCACGTAGTGAATGAGTTGCTACAGCATCATGTGAGGTTCCTCAACACCATCTGTGAGGGAATTACTACACCACGTGATGCCCCTCATAACACCATCTGTGAGGGAATGACATACCAGTGATGCCTCATAACACCATCTGAGAGGAATTACTACACCACGTGATGCCCCTCATAACACCATCTGTGAGGGAGTTACTACACCACGTGATGCCCTCATAATACCATCTGTGAGGGAATTCACACCACGTGATGCCCCTCATAACACCATCTGTGAGGGAGTTACTACACCACGTGATGCCCTCATAACACTATTCGTGAGGGGAGTTACTACACCACGTGATGCCTCATAACACTATCTTAGGGGTTTGTTCATCTGTGAGGGAGTTACTACACCACGTGATGCCCTCATAACACTATCTGTGAGGGAGTTACTACACCACGTGATGCCCCTATAACACTATCTGTGAGGGAGTTACTACACCACGTGATGCCCCTCATAACACCATCTGGAGGGAGTTACTACACCACGTGATGCCCTCATAACACTATCTGTGAGGGAGTTACACCACGTGTGCCCTCATAACACCATTCAGAGGAGTTACTACACCACGTGATGCCCCTCATAACACCATCTGTGAGGGGAGTTACTACACCACGTGATGCCCCTCATAACACCATCTGTGAGGGAGTTACTACACCACGTGATGCCCCTCATAACACCATCTGTGAGGGAGTTACTACACCACGTGATGCCCCTCATAACACCATCTGTGAGGGAATTACTACACCACGTAATGCCCCTCATAACACCATTTGTGAGGGAATTACACCACGTGATGCCTCATAAAACCATCTGTGAGGGAATTACTACCACGTGATGCCCTCATAACACCATCTGTGAGGAATTACTAACCACGATGCCCTCATACACCATCTGTGAGGG